GCTGTCCCAGCTCTGTCCCCTCCCAACCTTCTTGCTGGTGTGGAGGCAGAGTGGAGAAGGTCTTGATGCTGTGATCAGCGACAGCCAGGACGTCGGTGTGCCACCAGCCCTGCCCCAAATCCAAACCACAGAGCCCTGAGGGCTACAAAATGAACTCCACCCCTGGCAGACCCAAGAGAGCAGCAGGAGAGGACACGAGCAAGGCCTGATGAGCTCAGATGCCAAACGTCAGCACTGAATGGATTTCTTTTTGGTACAAGGAGGAGAAGACAAGAGGATATTAATGGGACTTTCTAATTGCATTTGCTCAGGGCTGGCAGCACTATTAATGTGTGTCCAGCATGGAGGAGACTCAATGCTTCAATTGTGGCCCCTGAGCACATCCTCACAGAAAACCCAATTATGGGAAATATCACAACAGTGGAGATAGATACAATTAAAAGGCTACTGAAAATACATCAGGAGAAGAGTTTCAGGAGTAAAAATACCACTGCTTGGAAAGGCTGTCAGTGAACTTGAGATCTTCATCTCTCCTGACACCTTCCCTCAGACAAGCTACAGCAAGCAGAGCTTCTCCATTGCCAAAGCTCTGGTCATGGTGTTTAGAGACCCCAACCTCTTCCAGCCTCACAGCTCCTTCCCACCTACCTCAAGTGATGTCACCCAAAAATGGTGCTAAATATCTTCCAGGGATGGAGCATCCACAGCTTCTTGGGGCGACCAGTGTCTCAGCACCCTCCCAGGGAGGAATTTCTTCCTGATGCCTCATCTAAATCTACTCTCTTTCAGTTTGGAACCATCATCCCTCATCCTGTCCCTGCCCTGTCACTGCACTCCCTGGATGATGTCCTTCAGCTTGGGGTCAGCACTCTGGGAAGCCACCCTGGTAGTGACAGGTTCATGTTGCTGCTATGAAGCCCAGGAAGCTTCACCCCTCTCACCATCCCCACTGCTGTCCTTTCAGAAGACCAAAAATCATCTACCTCAAGTGCTGGAGATGATGAGTTGGGTGATACATATGACTGACCATTTAAAGTATCTCTTTATTCATTTCCATACCTCTTATAGGCTGGGGGTTGGAGAAAACATCCCCTCAGAAGACCCTCCCAAGCTAGGATTGATGCCTCCTGGAGTTTCTTCTGAGAAAGGAAGGTTCAAGTTAGGACAGAATGAACTCTGTTCAGTGATTTTACCTCCCAGCTCCTCTTGTACTGCCTGTCCCAGCAGGAAGGATAAAGCCATTAGCAGTAGACACACAGGAAGGACTTGACCAGCCCATTCCAAAGCAGATAGGAAAGACATGAGGTGGCCAACAACCAGAGGAACAGATGGATGTGTTCATTCATGATCTATCATGTAGTGAAGGAAGGAGTGAGCCAGGTTAGAAACCAGGCTATGGGGGGAGAAATAATTCAGGTCATCAGTCCAGCTCCAACACATAGTAACTGCCAATAAAAAGCATCATTAGATACATAACCTTCTTCCTGGTCTTGATCTTGTCCCACCATCACTAGGAACTCTACTTGTAGACAATCAGGGAGCTGCTGCAGTAAGAGGAAACCCCACACAACAGACCCACCAAGTCATCCTGCAAGCAGAACAAGCTTTATCCTGTTAGCTCTAGAGGCAGGGCACCTGGTGGTGATCTTCTAACTGGTTTTCACTCAAGGTTGGCCAGGCCTTGAGAGAAAACCAAGAGCAAGGTCTCTCCTGCCTGGTTGTGGGCATCATCCATCTGCCAACCCTGATTCAGGGCTGGGGGTTTAACCCCAGCACTTCAGCTCCACCTCTGCTAGGTCACTGAACAGCAGGTTTTGGAAGTCTCTGCGTCTAGAAGTGACAACTCTCCATGTTTAGAGTTCCTACCAGGAGTTGGGGTGTTCAGAAAGGCTCCTGTGGAGACCAAGGTCACTGCTCCATCTCCCTGTCCATGCTGGGGTGCAGTAAGTGAAAGGGTCATAAGTAAGTAAAAAAAGTCACACCTGTGGGGAGGAGCTGCCAGGACAGGTGACCCAAACCCCACCAAGATATTCCATCCATATGGCATATTCAGGACAAAGCTGAGGGACCACCAGGGTCAAGCCTCTTCATCAATGGCTGGTGTCCAAGGAGGACTCTGTCTGTTCTTCTGCCTTTGATCCTGATCTGTTCCTGAATCCAGTCCCAGAATCCAGCTCCTGAATCCAGCTCCTGTCCAACCTGGGCCTTCCCTCCTACCTTCCCTGCAGCATCAGCGGTCACGGGACCATCACTGGAGGAATCCAATGTTGGGTTTGTATCTAGCCTGATCTAGTGGGAGGTGTCCCTGCTCATGGCAGAGGGGTTGGAACTGGGGGATCCTTGTGGTCCCTTCCAGCCCTGACAGATTCTGATCTGTTTTGGCAGAGGACTTTAGAGCCCTAATGGCTCAGTGGTTGGACTTGATGATCTTGAAGGTCCCTTCCAACCTAAAGGTTTCTATGATTCTATTTGTATATATCTCATAATTTTCTTATTAGTAGATTATCTTTTCCTTCTATCCAACCTAAAGATTTCTATGATTCTATTTGTATCTATCTCATCATTTTCTTATTAGGATTATTTTTTCCTTCTGTTGTTACCCTTTTATTAAAGCTGGTTTAGGTTTTCTTTTCCAACCCATCAGTCTTTCTCCCTTACCCCCTTTCCCTTCACCTTGGGGTCAACAGAGAGCATCTGTCAGTTGTTTAGTGGCCAGCCCAGCCCTAACCCTTGAGACCTATGTGACCTTCTGTCCTAGGGTTCCTTCACTTACCCATCTTCCTTACACTTCTTGAAAGCACCAGGAAATGCTGGACACACACATCCATAACTCAATAAACAGCTCATGGAACCCAGGGAGCTTTTTAGTGTCCCACAGTCCTTACCTGGAGAGGTTTTTGGGTGGCATACTGACCTTCAGGTGGTTGTGAGCAACAGCAGGTTAGAGCTTGGGCCTTTGTTTCCTAACACCAAGGTTTCCAAACCAACCCCAGCACCTTCTGCAATGGGCTGAAGTGCTGCAGGGTTTATCCAAGGACCATCCAGCCAAGATGGAGCTCTTTGATTTTGAGGTTCTCACAACATTTTGCCTGATACAACTATACAGCTACTGCCCCCACTCTTAGAATCCTTTTGGTTGGAAAAGACCTTGAAGATCACCAAGTCCAACCATTACCCCAGCCAGGTCCCCACTGCCCCGTGTCCCTCAGCACCACATCTCCATTTTTGGGTGGCTAGGACATGAAGAGGATCCTTTTAAAAGCTGGAATAATGGGCAGCCTTGAGCTTCTCACACAGCTTTGGAAGGCTTCAGTATTCTGGGGACTCAGAGCTTCAGTGGTGGCAGCCTGGCTGGGGGCAGCACTTTCCAACCCCCCCCAAGTCTTTCAAAATCCATTTCATCACATCTTGCCATTGGCTGGATCAAGGCTGGATCACACAAGAAACCTGCTCTGGAGGTGGCTCAGGATTCACAGGAATTAATCTGAAACAAAGCACCCGGGTGCCAAGAGATATTAAATTAAACGAGATTTTTATCACGTCTGTAATTATTTATTGAGCTGAGAATCCATACAAGGTAAACAAATGTTTACACTATCATACAGTAAGCATTTCCAGGGCTTAATAAAAATGATTGTCACTCACTGTGCTTCACAAAAAAAAAGGTCATTTTAATGAATAAATAATTTGATGAAATTAAAAAAAAAAATAATATTTACAATATAAACAAAGGAAAAAGCTTTGGATATATTAATCTGAGCATCCTGGAGGTTGCACTTGCTGTCTTTCCATCAAGATTCTCTCTCTCTGAACATGGTACAAAGCGGGTAGGAATTACAACTCAACCAAGTGAACATGATTTGGTGCCTTTTTCAGCCAAGCTACACAGGAGTCGTTCCTTATGCAGGGGTTAGAATACAAACAGAACTAAAAGAGATGATCCAAATGCCAGACAGCATTCTCCACAGAACAAGAGCCAGGGGGAGGGGGATCACAGGCAACAAAATAGGACAGGAAAGGTACAAATCCCTTCATAAGAATATAATTGTGCTCTCTTTATTTACCAGAGGACCACGCTGCTTCCCCACGTCGATGGCCAGGGAGGAGGAGAGTGTTCCACAGCTGCCACGTGGCTTGGTGGGTCAAGCAGCAGCATCGTGGTGGAGAAACGGGCAGTGCAAGCAGTTGTAGAAACATCTTGGGTTTTTTTGGGGGGGAGGGGCTCTTCCAAAGAGCCAGTGATACAAAGCAGTAAGAAGCAGGACACTGAGAAGGTCTCGTCTCGTTTGCACGGCTCTCGTGAAGCGACTTGCTTTGTTTGTGCTGGGGAGAGGAGGGACGTTGTGCTGCTCATGCCCTCAGCCAGAATTCAAGTATTCCAAAGCCACCTCGTAGCAGAATTTGTATTGATCCTGAAAAAAAAAGCAAAAGAAACCCACCAAGTGGGTTATTGAAGGAACTTAATTAAGGGGATCGATATTTCTCTTCTGCTGAAGTTATTTACCATCAGCTTGCTGTCAATGGGCACCAGTTTGCAAATCCAATTTCTATTCAGGTAGGAAAATCTTTATATTAAGCAGACAAAAGATGCTACACGCAGTAACTTATGGTGCTGCTCCTATCAGATGGGTGTTTAACTGCTCTGATGCACTCGTATGAGAAATATTGACTAGGCATAAACAAATTGACTTGCAACCCTTCTGTCACCTGCCAAAATGCTCAGGTAGCACTTCAGCAGAGCTGGAGTTACTGGAAATCCCCCCTGGAAACGTTTTCTCTTCCAACAGACCCAGTCTCTAACACTTTTCTGATTTTAATTTCTATTTTCATGTCATTCACACGCTTGCTACATTTCAAGACAAGAGCTGGTCACTGGTCCTGCTCTACATGAAGCTCAAATCCACACCAAAAGACTGGATTTGTCCCAATTAATTTCCTGGAGGTCTTTAAGGCCAGGCTGGAGGAGGCTCTGGGCAGCCTGGTCTAGTGGGAGGTGTCCCTGCTCATGGCAGAGGGGTTGGAACTGGGGGATCCTTGTGGTCCCTTCCAACCCTGACAGATTCTGATCTGTTTTAGCAGAGGACTTTAGAGCCCTAATGGCTCCATGGTTGGACTTGATGATCTTGGAGGGCCCTTCCCACCTAAAGGATTCTATGATTCTATAAGTCATGCTCTTAACAGCTCTTCTGGTACCCAAGCTAAGTTTTCAGGTGCCAACCCTGTGCTTCCAACACAGCCCTGCTGGTTTGACCTGCACCTGCTTGGGAACAGGGAAATCCCTTTCCTGTGGCACTCCAACCCAGTCTGTCCTTCCTCTTCAGGGATGAAGGGCCCTCACCTCAGCACCTTCACATCCTCAGCAGGGCCACTGCTCTTCACCGACCCTCACCAAGTCTGCAGCCTGAAATGATGCAGCCACTGATGGCTCCAGTTTCCTGGGTTCTTTCTTGCAACTCACAGTTTGATGGGGACAATCTTTTTAGGATGGGGACAATGTTTTGAGCAGGGCCTGTTGGGACAGGACAAGGGGGGATGGTTTGAAACTCAAAGAGAGAGATTTAGATTAGAAAGAAGGAAAAAATTGTTGATGCTGAGGGTGGTGAGACCCAGACCCAGGCTGCCCAGAGAGGTGGTCGCTGCCCCATCCCTGGAACCATCCCAGGGGAGGTTGGACACAACTCTGAGCACCCTGCTCTAGCTGCAGATGTCCCTGCTCCCTGCAGGGGGGTTGGACTGGGTGACCTTGAAAGGTCTCTTCAACCCAAACCAGTCTGTGACTCTAAGACTATTTAGCAATACCTCAATGAAACAAAAAAGCTGAAAGAAATAGTAAGTGCAGGTTCCTGAACCTGAGGGCTCTGCCTTCTAGAAATGCAGTTTGGAATGACTTGCCCATTTTGTGACTGTTCTTGCCACTGAAATGCTTCTTCCTCTTAAGCACCTTAATTGATTAATACAAGATAACTAAGCATGTACTATCATCTAGGAACAAGACTTAGTTATCTAATGATACTTCAGAGATATTCTCCTTGTCACAGAAACAAATGTTTCAAAGGATTCACCCTTCTGGCTTCTACTTGTGATTTTGGGTCACATTTTAGCTGAGGAGAGAGCCCCCCCTTGGCAAGTGAGACCAAACACTGTTTCAACAATCCAAAAGCCATTCATGAGCATGGAGAATTTCTGATTTCTTTTGATGAGAGCTCTCATTTCAAAAGAAAACCACTCTTAGGTGCACATATCACCTAAATTAGGAATGGGTTGGATGGGAGGTTTTAAGATCCTGCAGCGTTCCCTGAGCTGCTTGTGTCTTCTTCAGAATGAGAGAAGACTAAAAAATGAGGAGAGGAAAGAAAGGAATATTATGTAAATGACTCCTTTCCTGCTTTCGTGGCATCTGTGTTTCTAAATAAATGAAAATTATTCTATAACCACCTAACAGATCAAAACAAGAGATCAGCCACTCATCCATTTCCATTTTTCCACTCTCATTTTGGGCTGATGTACTGATCCAGCAGAATAACTGTCATTTTTTAGTAAACCTGTCTTAAAGAGCAGGGATCTATTATTTCCCACTGTGTTCACTCATCTGTGTACTTTTTACATTTTTATTATTCCCTTGATATTAAAAGTCTCTTTATGTTAGCTAGCTGCAGAGAGCTATATTTATATTTATATCTTTTTTTTTTCCAGGACATCTATTGGTAGGTCCAATGACTAACAGAAAGCTCTGGGCATTCTCTCACAGACATTTCTAATACCATCTGTTACCTTTGCACGAGGGCTGAAGGATTTCATATTTTTTATATTCTGATTCATTCAGATTTATACCAAATATTTCAATGAAATTAAGAGATGAGTCTCTGAAGTATGGACCACAAGGATTGTCCTTCATCTAGCCAGCAAGTGCATAACAGGTATTGACAAAGCAGCCTTGAAACTACATTTTTGTGTGAAATAGTTACAATTCTGAGCATTTTATCTTTCCCCACAGGATTTTACAGAGGTGGATAAATATTACTGCTCTCCTTTTGCTGCTGTGGGAACTGAGGGGAAGACACCTGAGAAAGGCCATAAGGGATGAAGTCAGTGGCAGGATGAGGGGAAGAACTCAAGTGTCCCAATTCCCTTCTAGCATGGAGATTGAAACCCTGCTCATTCAAATATTGCTTCCTACAAAGCAGCAGACCAAGATGGAAGAGACCTGCTTCTAACTCTGCTTTCTCAGTGAATTATGTGATAACAGGAAAAAATCTGATTGTCCCCTGCCTGATCATTCCTCTGTCTGCAACAGAAGGAAAACAAGTCATGAGTGCCTCAAAACCTAATGAAAAAGCCTTACAAGGCCTCTCAGTGCTGGCCAGACATTCTCAACACCACCCTCCATTTATTAAAAGCTGTTTTTTTTTTGTATTCTAAAATCATACATTTAACTTTTGATTAAAAAACATCCTCTGCTGAAAAATGGGAGACAGCTGCCTGACAAATCTACACCTGGAGAACTATCAGGGCTGGGAATTTATGGAGAGCTTTTGCTTCAGCTGTACATCTTCACACTGGTCATTTGCTTTTTCTTTCTATAAAACTAAATGAAGAAGAGATCAGGGAGTTGTGTGGGCTTAAGCTCTGGGAGATCAGAGAACAGCAGGCCTGCCAAGTCTCTGTCCAAACTCTACTATTGGAATGAAGAAGTAGGACATTTTTCTTAATATCTAGGAAATAAAAATGTATGGTTCTCAGCGTGATGGTTCTCCTCCTGAGAATATAAACTAGTGGAAGAGGAGCCAGCTAAGCTGCTAAAGCTTGGTAGTTCCTCACTCACACAAGATTCACAGTTGCTGCTGGTAAACTCCCTCCTCCCTTAGCACAGCTGGCAACATCTGGCTTTTTTTCCATCAAGCTGGCTGGAGGAGGACTTAGGGGAGCAGCTGGAATTTCACAGGTAGGATGGATGAGAGGATGTGGTGGGAGATGTTCTCCCATGGGACAGATGAGGTGCAGTGATGATGGTCCTACCCATCTACACATGACCCAAAATTCCTGCTCTCTGTCCATTCCCCAGTGTGTTTCACACTCAGATCTCAGTAGATCCCATCTGAGAGAGGGGAAGATCTCTCCTAAAATTACAGGAGCTCTGTGAGATGCCTCCTGCCTGACTCTGGGCACTCTGTAGAAAAGATGTTGAAATAGGGCCCAAATTTGTTCAACCAGAGCTTCCAAATTAGCTGAGGTTGGTCGAGCATCCCTGAAGCTGCCCAGATGTGGCTTCCTCCTGCTTAGGATGCTGCAATGGATCCAGCTGCCTCTCAAGCAGCCACCTCCACCAAGAAAAGGGCATCACACTCCACCCCTCTCCAAGGACAGAGCAACACACTGGAGGGGAAGGACCTGCTGGTTTAAGCTGTTCTGCAGCTCTCGTGGTTGGCAGCTGGCACTTCAGCAATTCTCCATTTGAGAAGAAGGAGGGGAAAAAAAAAAGCAGCTCATAAAACACTCTCCAGGAAAATAATTGCACATGGCCCCTTGTTTCTGAACTTCTTTCATCTTCCTAGGAGATAGAGCGACCATCATTAAATGCAATATTCTGGATGTCTAGCTGAAATTCATGGCTTTGATAAATATTAGGCGATTAAGCTATTTATAAAATATATAATTTGAAAATCTGGCATTTCATTTTACATAACTATTATTTCTACCATGCGAGGGGTTGCTCTCCACTTGGCTCAGCTTGCTAGAAAAGGAAATTAATAAGGACGTTCGGCTGAAAGTTTAAAACTCTTAAAAAAGATTCAAATGAAGAGAGACCAAGTCTCCTTGGGAAGAAAGCAGTGTAAAAATACTCTTGTAAAAGTGAAGTGACTTCATTATCCCCTTTGAAAAACGACTGGCTGCTTTGTGAGCAACTCCCCCTGCAAATCCTGGAAATCTCACCCAGTCTTCAGAGAACAAAAAAAACAAAGAACATTTTCTATTTAGCAGCTCAAAACTTCCTACCAGAAGGTCCACCATGTTAGGCTTATTATTCCTCAGTGTCTTCACAGCGTGGAACACATCAACAGCCCTCTGATGTCGAAGCATTTCACACACAATGCTGATTGCACAGAAGGTCCCACTGCGGCCACCTCCGTTCCTGCAAGAGAGGGATGATGAGGATCCGTTAGGATGGACTCTATGTGATGAGTTTCTGCAGCACCAGGGGTGGCTACAGGAGCTTCAGCAGGGGGAAACCACAGAAGAGTCCTGCCCCTGAAGGCTGCCAAACTCCAGGCAGAGTTTTAATTGGGATTAATGGGCTGAGAGATCTCCAAGCTGAAAGCCTGGGGGGAATTGGATGGCTGAGTTTTGCATTATCCTTCAGTGAATGTTTAAGACAGGACAAAGAGGATATAAAATAAGGACAAGGTGCTTTTTAGCTTCAGTTCAACACCTCTTTGCACTGTAAATGCACGAGGCTGCAGTGAGCATCAGGCCTGGAAAGGTTAAAATGTTAGCAGAGGACTTGGTAGTGTTGGCTCAATGGTTGGACTTGATGATCTTAAAGGTCTCTTCCAACCTAAAGGATTCTGTGATTCTATAACGTGGATCTTTGAGTTCTTTTAGGCCAAGTCCTGGTGCTTTCCTCCTGCACCCAAAGGCCTTTTGGAGGAACAGTCAAACCACCCAACATCTCATTGGTAGGAGCTCCTCTGTTGACTCCACCTTCAGCATGGCAGTAGGTGGGGCTGTGATATTCCCCTGGCAATAAATGCTTTAAAAAGTGTCTGTATTCCCCCTCCACCTGCAGTACCAGAGGATGAGAACCCAAAGTGACTCGCTAACAAAGAAATCAGGCACAAACCTCCATGTGCATGATCAAATATAGCATTTAATAACACTTTATCCTTGGTTATTTTTAATCTTTACGAGAATCTCATTCTCTCTGGGAGCCCTATTCTTCCTACACCTACTTTAATCAGAATTTTTAGGCTTCACCAAAAATAATAAACCTCAATAACTACCTGAGTGCAGACTCGTTAGGTGGCAGGTCTTTCAAACCAGCTTCTCAACTGGTTGATGTTCAAAGGAAGCCCCAACGTCGTGCATCTGTCACATCCAGGCAGTCTGAAAAGAATCCTCCCCGCTGCCAAAACACTGCCCGCTATTGTGGGACTCTTTGAGGATTTTAATTAAAATAAAGTCGTTTAAAAGGATTATAGGAGAGCTTTTTCTTTCTCTCCTGCCTGGAAGTGACGCGTGTGTGATGTTGTACAACTGTTTAATATCATCAGCCACCTCGGAGATAACAGTAATTTGCACTTCAAAAGGGGCTTTTCAGCTAAAGATCTCAAAACATTAATTAATCACCCTGCACAATGCTCCTTGGATGAAAGTGTTATTATCCCCATTCTACAGATGGGGAAACTGAAGAGCAATGACTTGTTCAAGGTCAGTGATAGGGGAAATTATTAATATACTCTTAGATTTCCCTCCATCTTTCCAACCTGAGGTCCCAACTTTGGGAAGTGCTTTTTCCCATCAGCATGTCCCTTCTCCATCATGGCAGCATCTCTAAACAGATGTTTAGAGGAAGAAGGATGCAACTTCAAGCACTGAAGACTGAGTCTCAACAAATTGGCAAACAGCATCCACAAGGGTTAAGCTACACCAAAAGGAAGATGGTGGCCAAGTGGAGGAGAGCCTGCAGCAGTGGAACACAAAGGTCACAGGAGGACAAAAATAAAGGGTTCACCAAAAAGGTTGTTGAGCACTGGAAGAAGCTGCCCAGGGCAGTGGTGGAGTCCCCGCCCCTGGAGGGGTTTCCAAGCTGTGGAGATGTGGGGTGAGGGACACGGGGCAGTGGGGACCTGGCAGTGCTGGGGGATGGTTGGACTTGATGACCTTAAAGGTCTCTTCCAACCCAAACAATGCTATGATTCTATGAAAGAAGAGGTCCATTGTCTTGAAGGTACAATTTTGATTTACTCTGAGCACTCCATATCTCCAGAGGTCCCTTCCAACCCCTAACATTCTGTGAATAAAAGATGCACCTTCTCCATTTGCAAAACAAAGACACTTTTATATAAAATACAGACACCTTTATATAAAAGATGAGTTAACTTGTCCCCACCATCTCTTCACAGGGTTCTAGGGAGAGCCACAGAGGAAAACTCACCAACCTCCATAAAACCCTCTGCGACTCCTCGTCGGGGTGGGGAGGACTTAAACAAATCAACCTTTATCAACGTGCAGCTGCATTATTGATCCAGCTCCAGAGGAGACAGATGCCTCTTCAAACAACCATTTCAAAGCTGGGGAGAACTTCCCTCCCCCCCAATTCTGCCCCCCATCCCCAGTACTCACAGGCAGTGCACGACGGTGCGTCCCTCCCCCCCGTTGTACTCCTCCTGCCACTTCTCCACCTGCCGGATGAGCTTCAGGAAGGAGCGTTTGGAGACTGGAGTGTCCCTGTACATGGGCCATCCCAGGAACTGGAACTGCTGCACCATCCGATAGCCATCCTGGGGCTGGGGAGAGGCAGCCAACAAGCAGGAAAAAAGAGCTTTGTTTTTATTTTTTGAATGATTTTTTGGGGGGTTTTATCGGGGTAACTCATTTGGTCGCGGTAGGGTTGGGTGATGGTTGGAGTTGATGATCTTCCCCAACCTTAAGGACTCTCTAATGGAGAGATTTGCATCAAGGAAGGGAGTTGTCCAAGCAGATTCAGGCTGGATGTGAGGAAGAAGTTCTTCACCATGAGAGTGGTGAGACCCTGGAAGGGGTTGCCCAGGGAGGGGGTTGAGGCCCCATCCCTGGGGGTCTTTAAGGCCAGGCTGGAGGAGGCTCTGGGCAGCCTGATCTAGTGGGAGGTGTCCCTGCTCATGGCAGAGGGGTTGGAACTGGGGGATCCTTGTGGTCCCTTCCAACCCTGACAGATTCTGATCTGTTTTAGCAGAGGACTTTAGAGCCCTAATGGCTCCAGGGTTGGACTTGATGATCTTGGAGGTCCCTTCCAACCTAAAGGATTCTATGATTCTATGATTCTAAGCAGATCACCCCTGACAAATGACTAATGGAACTTCAGCTGCCCTTGTGGAGTTATGACTTTTAATTGCCAACAGTTAGAGCAAGAGGTTTTTAAACAGAGCTACCATAGAGCTGCAGGAGCAAGGAAATAATTAATTGATATCATGGTAGCAACACAACTTCAATTCTATATTTATTGACATGCTTCAGCATGTTGAAGAACGTTTGCGTGCTTCTCTCTTCTTTTTTTTACAGGAAAGGTCAAAATCTCTCGAGTTATTTTGCAGCAGGAAGCATTTAAAAAAACAAATGAGACCCTCAGAAGTTTCTGGCTTATAAAAAACCCAAACAAAGTACATTTGATTTTATTGTGTGCTCCTGCAGCAGTCAGAACCCCTCTGGTGACACGTTACTGAGCAGTTGCTTGATGGTGATTTCTAATAAAAAAGGAGCCCAGAACAAGTGTTAGTGGCAGAAAATTACAGTCCTTTGAAAGAGGCAAAATAAACATGCAGGAAAATGGGGTTTGTGGTCTAGGATTTGCCACTTTCCCTTCAGTGCCAAGCGAGGGCATTTCAGTGCCACTGGTTAAACCAGCAGCACACAGAAATGCTGCACATCAGTATTTTTTTTCTCTAGAGTAAGAGGTCAGATGAACAAGGGAAGGGAATAAACCAGAGTGGGGGCAGCATTAGATACGTTCTTCCATGGGTTTTGTCTGCTGGATGTCAAAATTTGGATTCCCAGCCAGTTTCTTTCAGTTGATGGCCCCTCCTCCCAAAGCACGTTGGCCAAAGCCAACCAAAGATGGTGGTTTTGTGTTGTCACATTTACTGTGAATGCCAAGGCCTTCTTAGGAGCAAAGAAACAGAACTAGCTTGAAGCTCACAATCTACTCCCTCGTTCAGCTATTAGCATGTTTTTGGGTGTAGTTTTGGGGTCTTTCATCATCCTGGGAGCTACCAAGGGGACAAAGTAGCTCTCAAAACAAGAGTGATGGTTTGAAACTTAAAGAGGGAGATTTAGACTAGACAGAAGGAGGAAATCTTTGACAGTGAGGGTGGTGAGCCCCTGGCCCAGGCTGTCCAGAGAGGTGGTAGAAGATCCCTGGAACTATCCCAGGTGAGGTTGGTTGTGGCCCTCAGCAGCCTGCTCTAGCTGAAGCTGTCCCTGCCCATGGCATTGGTGTTGGTCTAGATGACCTGTAAAGGTCCTTTCTAACCCCAAATACTTGATGGTTCTACTGGACCTTAGGGCAGCTCCCACCTTCTGAGCAGGGAGTGCTGCCTAGTCCTAGCCATGGTTCTTTGGTGATCAACACCAGTGCTTGGCAAGAGCTTCCTCCACCTGGGTGGGAGGAGGTGCCTGGTCTGTGCTGGCTTCTTTTTGCCACTCAGATTGGACCGTCTGTCAACATTATGGGAGCATAAAAGGTGGATACAAGAACAGCCTTGTCTCTCTGAAGTTCTTCCATATATTATGAAGGGTGATTAGTGGGGCAGGATCTCCACTAAAAGCCAGGGACTGGTACTGAACACTGTGCAGGATTAGTGCACAGCTTTCCTCTCACGACACAGGACACAAATACCCAAGATGGGTAATTTCTAGCTGTAGAAAACAGCTCTGATTTCAGCCTTCCTTGGCTACCATACCCTCTGAATGCTGCATTTATTTCATTTGCATTTAACACACTTGAGAGATGCATTAAAATATTTTTTACTTTAATTACAGATAGGAGGCTTTTTTTTTCCTCACTGATTATGGTGTGACTCAGTATTGCACCGTTGCTTTCAAATAAATAAGCTGAAAATTAAGCTAAATAATGTTAGAGGAGGTTGGAGCCAGGGGGGGGTCGGGCTCTGCTCCCAAAGAACAAGCGACAGGACAACGAGAAATGGCCTCAAGTTGCACTGGGGGAGGTTTAGGTTGGACATGAGGTAAAATATCTTCTCTGAAAGGGTTGCCCAGGGCAGTGGTGGAGTCCCCACCCCTGGAGGGGTTTCCAAGCTGTGGAGATGTGGGGTGAGGGACACGGGGCAGTGGTGGATTGGTCAGTGTTGAGTTATTGGCTGGACGTGAAGGTCCAACCTGAACAATTCCACTGTTCTGTGCGAGTTCAGCTTTCACATTTTGGGATTTGAGTGGGGCTGAGAAAGTACCAAGAGAGAATTGTTCCGCAGAGCAGATCCTCACCCTGGCTGCATTATAGATCCGGAATATCCGGCTGATGATATCTTCTTCTAGATCAGCTGACACAAACTCCACCTGGATGGGACCGTGTCGGTGCACCCCATTTTCTGGCCAGTACTGAGGACACAGCTGCAGGAGACCACAAACACAAAAGAACACAATGAATCCCTTTCCATTTCCTGCTGCCTCCAGAGGCTTTTCCAGATTTTTCTTCGTGCTACATTTGTTATTGAAATCCTGGCACGAGACCTGTACAAAACACACAGGGCAGCACCTTCCACTCTGGTTTCACTTGGGCAGACCCAGGTTAAGCAGATGCCTTTTCACTTCACTGAACTCGCTGCCCCTTGCTGCTGCACTCACCATTCTCTGGTATTTGGAGTAAGACATCTGACACTCAATATCAATTCTGCTTAAGGGGGCCCACAAGAAAGCTGGGGAGGGACTTTTTAGGATATTGAGTAACAACAGGACTAGAGGGAATGGGGCAAAGCTGGCAGTGGGCAGATTCAGACTGGATGTGAGGAAGAAGTTCTTCCCCATGAGAGTGGTGAGACCCTGGGATGGGTTGCCCAGGGAGGGGGTTGAGGCCCCCTCCCTGGGGGTCTTTAAGGCCAGGCTGGAGGAGGCTCTGGGCCGCCTGATCTAGTGGGAGGGGTCCCTGCTCATGGCAGAGGGGGTGGAACTGGGGGGTCCTTGGGGTCCCTTCCCGCCCTGACAGATTCTGATCTGTTTTAGCAGAGGACTTAGTAGGGTTGACTTGATGGCTGGACTTGATGATCTTGGAGGTCTCTCCCAACCTAAAGGATTCAATGATTCTATGACACTGCCAACAATGACCACGCCTCAAAGACACAGTGAAAACCAAGGGCCTGGTATCTCCAGCTGGAAAGAAGGGAGTAACTTTCCCTGGGAATCTGGCAATACCTCCAGCTACGTCAGGAGGTGTTCAGTTCCACGGAGGGTGCCTCAATTCCCAAATGACTGATGATACCATTCCACCTCAGCATCGCTTTGAATTTTCAGCACTGACTCAATATCACCTTACGAATGCTGCCTGAAAATAGTAATTATGCTTTCTTTAGTGCTCAGAAAACATCCCTTCCAGGTAGCTAAAGATCACAAAGTACTATTACCGTTATCTCGCGCGGCTTTCGTGTCTAATAATATCACCATGGCTTAATCCAGGAACCAATTATCATCTGTGTTCAGACTTTAAAGATTAAATCAACACTTTGCAAGGAGGGTTTTGAAGCCAGAATCTGCCTGTCCAGGTGTTTGTGTTTTTTTTTTTTCCCCCATAAAAACCCTAATGATTTATTTTTCCCCAGGGGTATTTAGAGCACGTAGCTTCGCTCCGCCAAAATGAAGCGTGGGCTTGTGAAATTCTGTTTGCTTGCAGAAGCATTGATGTCATGTTTGGAACTTTATTTCATTCAGTAAAACAGCTGTGGTCTTCATTCTGCTGCGTGGCTGGTGGTGATCCAGAGCTGAGCTGACAAATCACATTTACTCCAGATGTTGTTTTGCATTTCTGATCACACTCAGCCCTCGACAAAGCCGTTTAGAGAGGACTATATTTGAGGGAAACATAATCATTTACTACATCAATTAAAGAAGAGAACAGGGTCTGATTTGCAGGAGTTCACTTTAACAAGTTAAACTCAGAAATTTCGAGGAGGAAAATAGATTTTTCCTTCCTTTTAACCCCTCTAAGTGATTCTGTCTGCTGAGAAAAATGACTTCCCAAATATTGCCTGAGTCTCACCCAAAGTTTTTCTTCTGAAACGTGCACACAACACAATGCAAACGCTCAGTGAACACGTGCACAGCTCAAGACACATCCTTCCAATCCACAGGGATGCTGTTCCAACAGACCAGTGAAAAATTCTGGCAGGATAATAAGCTGAGCTCTTTGCTGGAGCTGGTTTTAGGACTCCCAAGATTTTCAAGTTCTCCAGAACCCCCAAAGCATTTGGGTCTGTGCATTCTGCATGCCTGTGATGCCAGCGACCCCCTTCAAACCAGAGCCACTGTGAAGGGTGGAATTTCATCTCCCAGTCGAGCACAACAATCCAGATAAATTATAATATCTAAAGAGAGCTGCAAACACCCCATAAAGACATAAATAATAACGATAACAGTCGTTATTAATAAATCTGAACAGAATGCCTCTTTTTAATAAGCTCTGCCCTCTTTCCACTTCTGCTGGCTCTGAAGGTTTTGAGATTTATTCCTAATGAAAAGATGGTTACATTAGAGGGAAAAGGTTTAACACACTGCTGAGGCAGGTGCATTAACTACGCATCCCAATAGCTTTTAAAAGCCTGTGAGGCCAGTAAATGCTTGGAATAGCCACCTACTATTGTAAATTCAAAACACAGCCCACAAATTAAAAAACCTCTGTTCAGCAGTCCCGAGCAGTCTGACTCCCTGGAGTCTTCCTTTATTCACTCAGAAAATAATCTCAGGCTCATGAATAAAAGTTTTGTCTTTCGTTTCTAGTTGTTTTTTTCCACCCCCCCCCCACTCCCTGTAGACAGTTAAGGGCTTGGAATGGGAAATTCGGTCTTTAAAGCAGCCTGTGGAATTCTTAGGCAATCCTTTGAAAGACAAAACGGAAGATTAGTGGGTTTTTAAACCCAAATTCTGCCCGTTAAAAGGAAAGAAGAGGAAGCATTTTTTTCTAAGCACGTGCGATGCTCGACACAGCTAAAAAAGATTCTTGATCCTACCAAGAATAAAAATGATATGCAGGCTGCTATAAAAAAAGAACAATTGCTCTTAAGCAGTAATTAGCAAATATATACATATTAAGGAGCCAGATTACCACCACATTATTCCAGCAGATGGCTGGTGCAGTTTGTTGGAGCCAAGGAAAGGAGATCTGTGTCAGCCCCTGGAATGGTGCAGTTGGGAGCCAGGCTCCAGGACGTTCAGTGATTAATGCCAGTGATTAAATTGCCCAAGCAGTAGGTCCAGGTTTCCAATTTTCTGCAGAGCATGGACAGCATGCACAACTCTTTTGTGAGGTAATTGCATCCCCCCCATCCGTTTCCTTGCCCTGTTTTCTCCTCCAAAGGATGCTCAGTCTCCACTTTTTGGTCCCTCTCTCCTTGCTAACGATGTCGTTCTGGGCCAAACATCACACAGATTTTCCCCACTGGGAATTCCCAGCCCCTGGTAAGCAGACCAAGGTCATCGACCTGTTTCAGGCAGGCTAATGAAGAGCTGTTGGCTTCTGATTGGGATTTTTTGGCTATTCTTTCTGTGTTTCAGACTCGAGTCAGAAGCCTGCAATCCTACTGCTTAGTTTTTAGCAGCTCTTCCCAAAGCAGGTTCTGTTTCCAGAATAAATCATGGATGTTTTGGTGCTGGTGCTGCTGGTTTCCCTACAGGTACCCACAAGCTACAAATCAATTTTTTTTAGCATGTTAGCATTCCACGTGCTTTTCTACAACTTATTACATCCCAAAAGCTGAGGCACCAGCACTCCCCTTAGGAACTGAGCAGTTTTCTGGACTTACCTGTGCAGGATCCACGTCGTTCAGCATAACTATTGAAGTGCAGTGATAATCTAGGACCAGTCTCCAGAAATCTTTGACAGTATTTGGTAAGGGATGCTGTGTAACTATAAAAGCTGATGGCTGCTTGTAGCTCTGGCAAGGAAATCACAAGAAGGTGAGAAGAATGGTAAGAGACAGAAATCAATTTAGGACAATTATTTATCCTTTATCAATTTAGTAGAAGCAGAGCCCCAAAACTTTGGGACTGAAAGCCTTATTTCTATTTTCTGTATAATTAATCCATTGTTTTCACTTCTTCCCTGAATTCTTTGATGCTTAAATGTTCAACTTTATTTGGGCAGAAGATGAATTCTGCAGGTGTTTTACTTCTGAAATGTATTTTATGCCAGAGGCTTGGAGAAAAATCAGCAGAGGTTTTTGCCTCCAATGCAACTCCTACGAAATCCTGAGCAACAGTTTTGTTTTGAGCTGTTAAAGGACAGATTCATCTCGGTTGCCTGCGTTTAGCTGTTGATCTGAATGATGCCCATGAAAGGAAACTTTGAGTTATTTTTCAGAAATATTGTTGAAATTCTGGTCTGACAGCAGTGAGGGTGCCCAGGGGATATGTTTGAGTGCTCTTTGGTTTTTTTTCAGTATGTTGTTGCCTGAGCTGTTTGGTGGAACTGTCCCACTGGGGATCTCATACCAGTGTTTTCACCCATGTCCTAGAGCTGGAGGCCAGTACATCAGTCAGCTGCCTTCTGTCCTACTGGTCCTGTCTTCCTGGATTCATAAAACAGTTTTGGTTGGAAGAGTCCTTTAAGATCAAGTCCAACCCTTCCCCCAGCACTGCCAGGTCCCCACTGCCCCGTGTCCCTCACACCACATCTCCACAGCTTGGAAACCCCTCCAGGGGTGGAGACTCCACCACTGTCCTGGCAGCTTCTTCTAGGGCTTGACAACCCTTTCAGGCAAGACATTTTTTCTAATAGCCAATGTAAACCTCCCCTGTGTAACTTGAGGCTGTTTCCTCTTCTCCTGCCACTTGTTCCTGCTTGCTGATCCAAGCCAGGATGCTGGTGGCCACCTTGGCCATCTGGGCACAGGTTGGCTCATCTTCAGCCAGCTATTAACCAACACCCCCAGGTCCTTTTCCACAGGGCACTTTCCAGCCACTCTTCCTCAAGCCTGGAGCAGTGCAGGGGGTTGTTGGGACCCAAGTGCAGGACCTTTGGCCTTGCTGAACCTCATCCCATTGGCCTGGGCCCATTGATCCATCCTGTTCATGGCAGTTGCATGGAGATCAGAGATGCCTGGAAGGCTCTCCATGACCCCCTCACTTAGAAGCCTCAGCAGATTTTTAAGGAAAACCATTCTCAACTTCATTCTGATGTAGAATAATGAGAATTCTGCTTGCTAAACCTTCTGCTCTAAAAGCTTACATGAGGTGATCTGCCAGCAGCTCAACTCCTCCTCCCTCAGAGCCTTTTCTCCAGGCACACTTTAGGATCCAGCTCCTTGTTCTAACAGTGAAGAAGGAAGCACTTTCAAAGCCAATATTGAGGTGCTGCTCTTACTTAATTTACAGACCAGCCCAGCCCTGACTTCTCCAGGAAAGAAGAGGATGCAATGGCCAGGTTGGAAACTGCAGCTTGAGGAAGATCTCAGTGTTTCTAATAGGAAACCTCATTGACCTACTGAAATCATTGACCACTGAAAGCACTTCAACACTTCTCCCCAGCTCCTCTACATAGATAAGCATAAATAGAATACATCTACCTTTGCAGAGGAGTGTTTTGAGCTTAGGCTTATTTTAGGGCAATGCTTTGAGAATTCAGAAGGAAAGACACACAAAAACTGCTCTAAACTGTTATTACCCCAGCTTCCCTTTTCAGAAAGGCCATTTATGTTCTCCTCATTCTTTGCTAACCTCTGGTTTCTTCTTGTTTATCTGTCTGACAGCCGTAATTACTGTAGCTCAAAATTGTCAAAGAGAGCCTATAAATATCTACAGACTGGAAGGGTGGTTTAAGTTTCTTTTTACTGATATTTTATTAGCAGCATTAGATCCATCAGGAAAAAAAAAACCCAACCCACATGCACGTGGAGAGGAACCATTAATTCCAACAGAAATAAATGGAAAGATTGAACTAATGGTTTGTGCACTGTCTTGTGCTGACAGACAATTATTTTTTTTGTTAATTACTGTTTAAATTAGAAACAAAGGGAACTGAAATATTGATGCAAACTTTATTATCCTCTTTAACTGCCTTCGTGTCTTAATAGGTAACTGGTTTTTGTTTTCCTCCCAGGCCAGAGGGTTAAAAATTCAAGCCCTGGGGAGAAATTCAGAGCCATTGAATTCATCACAACTCCCTGATTTGCTCTCGGAGCTTTGGAACCTTGGCTGCATGGTAACATTAGTGGGATCCTGAAGGTACTTGGGAGTTTAAAGACTTTTTGTGCCATGCTTTTGGAAGACAGGCTGGAAGGATTTCAGTGTTCTTACACTTCCTGACGTGGCTCAGTTTGGAGGCTGCTTATTGGGTGTGGATCGTTGGTGGTGTGGTGGGGACTTACGTCCATCAGCGCGGCGTTGATGTAGTTACTGCTCTCCCCATCTATGGTGATGAGGAAGGGCAGGCACCTGTCTGGAGGCAGGACATCCATGCAGCGGTTCTTCTCGTGGTTTCGTGGGAGGAGTGCTATGCTGCAGTCTTCCACACGCAGCGTCGGGGTCACCATGTTTAAAGTCTTCCAAAAAGAGAAGAAGACGACAGGAGAATGAGCACGGCAGCTCAGGGTTCAGCGCCAGTGGGAATCCACAGCACAGGCAGCAGGGATTGCAAGAGGGAACTCCTGGAAGCAGGCAGATCTCAAAAAGAACCTCAGAGGCAGCTGCAGAGCAACCTGCTTCCTGGAGGAGGGATCCACATCTCTCACTTGAGTCAAGGGAGATGTCACTGCTACCCCGCTGCATTCTTTCATCACAGGGTCACAGAATGGTTTGGGTGGGAAGGGACCTTTCAAGGTCACCCAGTCCAACCCCCCTGCAGGGAGCAGGGACATCTGCAGCTAGAGCAGGGTGCTCAGAGTTGTGTCCAACCTCCCCTGGGATGGTTCCAGGGATGGGGCAGCGACCACCTCTCTGGGCAGCCTGGGCCAGGGGCTCAGCACCCTCAGTGTCAAACATTTCTTCCTTCTCTCTAGTCTAAATCTCCCTCTTTGAGTTTCAAACCATCCCCCCTTGTCCTGTCCCAGCAGGCCCTGCTAAAAATTCCCCCCCCCAGCTTTCTGACAGGCCCCTTGAAGCCCTGGCAGCCCCCAGGGGGTCTCCCCAGCTGGAGCCTTCTCCTCTCAGCTGCCCCAGCCCAACTCTCTCCTGCTGGGCTCCCAGCAGAGGGGTTCCCCCCTCGGGGCATTGCTGGGGCTCCTCTGGCCCCGCTCCAGCAGGTCCCTGGCTCTGCTGTGCTGAGGACTCCAGAGCTGCCCCAGCACTGCAGGGGGGTCTCCCAGAGCTGGCAGAGGGGCAGGATCCCCTCCCTGCCCTGTGCCCACCCTGCTGGGGGGGCAATGTCTTCAGGATAGCTGAGCTGTACAGCTTCTAGGTAATGCCTGCCACCACTTACCCTAAATTCCTCTTTGATCTGGCTGGAGTTAGTCTGAGGATCCAGTTTATTCATTTCATAGTAAACAGACCTAACTTGAGAAGCTGGAACAGATGTGTCCCCACAAAGACAGGCTTCCAGGATGGCATCATGGATGAAGACATACTGTTCCTGGGAAAGCAGTGACAATAATTACTGACTTGGAGAGCATGGACTGTTAGTATTTTGGTAAATTAAAAATAACAACTGACATGGTGGCCACTAATTCCTTCTGGCTTTACCAACACTGAAGGAAGACCAGAAGGAACAACAGCAGTTCATAAAACTTAATCCCACTCATTCAGAAATTAATTTAGAAGGATTGACTCAAACTAGTCACAAGTACAAAGAGAAGTGCAGGAACACTCTATAATAAACCTCAGAATTTCTGGTTTCCTCATTCCTCTGCACATTTCTGTAGGTGCTATCACGGATCTGAGCCTCCACAAGATGTACTCCAGGATGAATCCTCCCAGGGAGAGGAGACACTCAAGATTTTCCTGTTCTTAAACCCATGGTGAACCTTAAGTAGAGCATAACCACGCACTTCTCTGGGCAGCAGTTCTCCAGGTTTGCACAGGGATTATTTCCTGCATGGGGATGAATTCTGGATGGTGCCAACCACGAAGGGGCTCTAGCTCTAGGGGCTGGAAGACTTTTTTCTTGCAAAGCAGAAGGCAGTGTTCCAGCAGATTAAAAATACCTCTGTCTGCACCATGTTAACCCTCCGAGACCGAAGCTCTCTCACGCAGTTGTAGATGTCTACAACACCTTCTCTTTCTGCCATATCCAGCATGATGTCGATGACAATGAAGCACCCTGTTCTGCCAGCACCAGCACTGCAGAAAAAGAAGAGCCCAGTTAACATCCAGCAGGGAAAAAGTAAAGTCTGAGGGTTCATGATCCCTCAAAATCAAGCCTTGGCACCATTTCAGACTCGTTTTCCCCATTCCTGTTGATATTTGAGGTATGAAGCTTTTGTGGGTAGAGCTCCAGAGAAGCAAAAGTCACTCCAGATGACCCAAGGGAGGGATTTCTGTTCTACCAACCTGCAGTGAACGACCAAGGGGCCGGCGTTGGGTGGGCTCTTGGCCTTGACCTGCCTGACGAAGCCCAGCAGGCCGGTGGCGTGGTAGGGCACGCCGTGGTCCGGCCACCCCGTGAAGTGGAACTGCCGGATCTCTCGGATCTCATGAGCACCCCTCTGTTGGAAGAGAAAAACCAGCTGCAACGTGGAAGAAGTTGGATGAGGGACATCATAAGGATGGCACTTCAAACACCAGAGCCCTGGGGAAGAGCATCCGTCCCCCGCCAACGCCAACCTGGGTGCTGGTGGTGAGCTTCCTCATGGCAGGACTTGGAACCTCTCCTGGTTCCAAGTTCTAAGATTACACATCAAGTGGCTTCAAAGCCCTACAAGAAAACTGAGTGATGCAGCACTAGATTGTTTAGAAACTTCTAGTGACCAGAGAGATGCTCATCTGATGAGCACTGGGTTGCTTTGACAACAGTGGCCTTGAGATGTGTGCCATGATCACAGAAGAGGTCAGCAGCAAGGCCATGGACATCTAGCACAGATGATGTTTTTTTCCCCCCATTGCTCTCCACAACTGTTTTGCTGCTGACTTCAGGACACTACAGCACAATTTTCCTTAGGACTTGTCTCCTTTGTTGGTCTGAAAGAAAGAGCTGATTGGCAGGAAACCTTTTTGCACCTCAAATCACAGAGGCTCTGTTTGTAGCCCTCTAGCTGCTCACCCTTCAAGGGGTTCACAGCCCACAAGGACGTGGACGTGGTGGGGCAGGTATGAATGAGATGCTGATCCTGGAAGTAGCTTCTGGATGTTAGAGGGCTTGGATGCCAAGTTTGATTTTCTCAGGGCTTGTATCTCCCCTTCCCCCTCTAAAAATGCAGCTGCCAGTGTTTTATTCTCATTAGAAATCCACAGACCAGAGGCCATCATACATATTTCATAAGCAAACAGCAAAATTATGACATATCATGTCCAGGCTGGACTAAATGTCAGTGATATTAATAACTGGTGGTTTACAGTTTTTCTTCTTCAAGATTATTTCCTGTCTTGAGCTGGTTTGCATATAGAAGGTCTAATTCTCTCTGCACAATGAAGTAACAGAAAATTCCTCATTTATTGCTAATAAGCAAGCTAAAAGGTCTGGGGTTTTCAGTGGTTGAGATATTTTGGCCATGCCAGTGTTCATGACTTGGAGTGGGCTTTGTGGTTGTGGAGTCTTGAGGCTGGGGGCCTGTGGAGCCTGGGCATCTGCTCCAGGGAATGTCCACACTCCTCCTCCTCCTCGGGAACCATGGCACAAAAAGGCAGGCAAGGGAGAAGAGGGAGAGAAACGTGACACTGGTGTGAGACTGAGATCATGTCCTTGCAACAAAAACACTCTAATATACTAAAAAATAATTTTAACATACTGAAACCCAGGAACAGACAAAGTAATTTGCATTTTAAGACAGTCTAGGAAACACAGCATCACAGAACCCCAGCGTGGTGGGGTGGGAAGGGACCTCTGGAGATCATCTCATCCCACCCCCTGCTCCAGCAGCTCACCCCCAGCAGGGTGCCCAGGGTCACAGCCAGGAGGGTTTGGGATCTCTCCAGAGCAGGAGACTCCACAGCCTCTCTGGGCAGCTGCTCCAGGCTCTGCACCCTCACACCAAAGAAGTTTCTCCTCCTGCTCAGGTGGCACCTCCTGGGTTCCAGTTGGTGCCCGTTGCCCCTTGTCCTGTCTCTGGGCACCACTGACAGAGTCTGGCCCCAGCCTCTTGCCCCCCGGGGCCCTTTAGATATTGCTCAGCATTGATCAGATCCCCTCTGAGGCTTCTCCAGCTCAGCAGCCCCAGGGCTCTCAGCCTGTCCTGGCACAGAGATGCTCCAGCCCCTCAGCATCTCCACAGCCTCCACTGGACTCTCTCCAGCAGCTCCTTGTCCCTCTTGACCTGGGGAGCCCAGAACTGGACCCAGTGCTCCAGAGGTGGCCTCACCAGGGCAGAGCAGAGGGGCAGGAGAACCTCCCTTGACCTGTTGGCCACACTCTTCTGAATGCCCCTCAGGAGACTCCCCAGATACCACATCCAATCACACTTTATTCCCTGGACTCTGGAGCCTCCAGAGCGTGGTAGTCAACACATCATTTTGCTGTGGCAAGCAAGGCCTCCAGCTCTGCAAAGACCTGTGTGTAAGTGGGGTATCCATGTCCCAAAAAGCCTTTAAACTGCTCAGAACTGCAAGAAGAAACCAAGACCCCACCCAAAACACCAACACCATGGTTTCAACCAACTCAACTGAGGTCTGAAACGAGTGCCCCACGCCCATTCTTCATGCTGTGTGCAGCCTTGAGGTTCAAGTTATTCACACAAATAAACTACCCCTCCAAAATAATGTGTCCACACAGGTCAGGGGATGTCCTGGCAATCCTGGGCAGCAGTTTTGGGCATGCCCTCTGTCATCCTGACTGAGTTTTTGTCACTAACACTCAGGTGAGAAGAAAAGGTTTTGCATATAGGCAACTTTTATAATGAGTTTGCTTATTATGGCTACAAAAGAGTGATTTTCATGTCTGTAGCTTCCCTGCTGGTTTCTAAACCCAAAATAGCAACACAACTGCATGAATCCTAAAAGCATAACGCTCAGCTTGGAAAGACTGTGGGTTTTGTTGGTTTTTGGGTTTTTTTTTTTCCCCTTTTTCTTTCAGCTGAAACAAACAGAAAATGGTGAAGGTTGCTAACAAACCCCAGGATGTTAAAAAATGCAACAAATCCTCGTGGTGCTGCTGTGTGCTACTGTCTGAGTAACTCATCTGAGTTAACTGCTGTGCTGTAAAGCAGCTGCTGCTCCAGAGGAACTACGTTTTACTACATTTCACACCCTGGAAAGCACAGCTAGGAAGTGGTCTTCAGGATCAGAATGCAAATTGGGCTTCAGCTTTCTTCAGGTGATCTTCCCGCTCCTCAAAGAGCCTTTTAAAAAAGTAAAAAGTGGTGAATTTCTCACCAAACAAATCGACTGCTAAATTGTGTTTAGGAGCAGGTAGGAGATGTTCATCCACAAAGAGGAATGAGGGTCAGAAAGGACCTCTGGAGGTCTCCACTCCAACCTCCCACTCAAGAATGGGTCTTTCACCAACAGTCTAGCTGAGCCCTAATGACCTCCATGAATAGTGACACCATAATTTTGCCAGGTAAGCTGCTCCAGCACTGCACTGCCCTCCTCTTGAAGGAGCTTCTCCAGTGCAAGCCTCTCATGCTGCAACTTTTTGGCCATTGTCCCTTGTTTTGCCACTGCAAAGAATGAGGAGAATTTGGTGCCCCTGATTTTCTGAAGGGTTTTAAAACTAAACTACCTAACAACTTCATAGTTCTTAGAAGTACTTAGAACTTCTGAAGAGTTTTAAAACCAAACTACTAAACCCAAAGTGCTAAAGTACATCTAAAAGATCTTTGAAGCAGCTGCAGGCTGCCATGAGATCTTCCTTACCCCTCCTCTTCATCACTACCACGTCAAATAAAACCAGTTCTCTTGACCCCGCCCTCCATGTCCTACATCCTCAATCATCTTGGGATGCCAGATGTTGTCCCAGCATGCCACAGCCTGTACTGATGCACGGGCTGAGTCCACCCAAGGCACAAAACTCTGCATTTTATCTTCTTGAGTTACTAAAGTCCCTGTTGGCCAACGCTTCAAGTCCTTTGGGACTCAGGCTCCAATGCTCAGTGCTCCAGCACTGTCCTTCACTCACTATCTCCTACAGGTTTGCCCAGGTGCTCTGTCCCATCATGCAGCTTCTCCTCACAGAGGCTGCAAAGCATCAGTCCAAGTAGACCAGAAATAAAGAGAGAATTATGGTGGAAGAGATGTTCAGACTTGTTGAACCAGGGGAGGGGGAGGTTTTGGTTGGCAATGAGGAAAAACTTCTTCCCCTTGAGGGTTGCCCAGGGCTGTGCCAGGCTGCCCAGGGCAGTGGTGGAGTCCCCACCCCTGGAGGGGTTTCCAAGCCGTGGAGATGTGGGGTGAGGGACACGGGGCAGTGGGGACCTGGCAGTGTTGAGGGAATGGTTGAACTGGATGATCTTTTCCAACCAAAAAGATTCTATAGTCCTATTCCTTGATCTTCCAGTACCATTGGAAGAGTTAAAACCCATGGAAAATAGGGAAAAACCAACTGCACTTCCCCCAGACAACAACGCCACTGCTTTTAGAGGCTTACTGAAAACTACCAACCATTAAAAAGCAGTGTCTAAATGAAATCTTTTCAGATGGAGATTTTATTTTTTTTTTAAAGAAATAAAATGTTTAGTGCCTTTTATCTCTCTCTGTTCTAATGCACTTATTCAAGACAGTTTGGTTATGTTCAACTGTAAAATCCTCTAGGTTTTTTTTCCCCCCCCTCCCAGTTAAGAAGTGAAAAGCTAACATCAAAGCACGGGCTTAAAATTTGCAGAATAAAAATCAACCAGTGCTTCATCTACTTCAAAGTGGAGCCACCCTTTCTCCTCTGTTTATTAAAAACATCTAAATGCAACGAAACAACAGGCTTGGGTGAATTCGATGTATACAAAATTTCAGTGCATTCAAGCAGCATAATTCCATTGTCATTACCCTCAGGTTGCTGTATTGGTGCATATTTTAATACTGGAGTGAAGGATAAAAGAGGAATAAAAACAAAATCCTTTGTTATTGTGGATGGATGTACAGAGAGCCTGTTGGGTCATTGTTTTGGCAGCTTCCTGGACCTGGGTGCAGGATTCTTCTGAGCTAAAGATTGTTTTCTGAAAGCATAATTGAATATTATTTCATCATTAGAGGGAATCTTTGCATCAGGGGTACTGCAACTAAATCAAACAGAGTTTTCTAGGCTAAGGAGTTGAAAATCTACTCCTGGTGAGACTGAGAGAACATCACTTCAGTAATGAAAATGACTGTGGGGAATATGAGGTGGGAAAACAGCACGAAGGTGGTTTTCAATTGATTGCTGGGAGGGAGGCTTTGATTTCACCATTTTCTCCTGATTCAACCAAGACTTCCAAAGTCAAAGTCTTCCAAAAATCAGACTTCCAAAGAGGTCCTCTCCTTGTTCTGCAACTCTAAACTTGATACCTACAATTAAAACACTTCTGTCTTTTAATGAATCATAGAATCATAGAATCCTTTAGGTTGGAAGGGACCTCCAAGATCATCAAGTCCAACCACCGAGCCACCAGGGCTCCAAAGTCCTCTGCCAAAACAGATCAGAATCTGTCAGGGCTGGAAGGGACCCCAAGGATCCCCCAGTTCCAACCCCTCTGCCATGAGCAGGGACACCTCCCACTAGATCAGGCTGCCCAGAGCCTCCTCCAGCCTGGCCTTAAAGACCCCCAGGGATGGGGCCTCAACCCCCTCCCTGGGCAACCCATCCCAGGGTCTCACCACTCTCCTGGGGAAGAACTTCTTCCTCACATCCAGCCTGAATCTGCCCACTTCCAGCTTTGCCCCATTCCCTCTAGTCCTGTTGTTACTCAATATCCTAAAAAGTCCCTCCCCAGCTTTCTTGTAGCCCCCCTAAGATACTGGAAGGCCACAATAAGGTCCCCTGGGAGCCTTCTCTTCTCCAGACTGACCAGCCCCAACTCTCTCAGTCTGTCCTCACAGCAGAGCTGCTCCAGCCCTGAATAAAACCCCTGACTTGGCACAAAAAGCACAACACACTTCAGCACTTCCACTCATCAGCTTATTTGGGAATTTATGTTGTCCATGTAGCATAAGCTACAAGATCCAGTAGACACCAAACAAATTTGAGGCATTATTTTAGTAACTCGTAACACAACACGCTGGTGGGAGCTCTCAAAGTACAAAGAGGGATTCCACAAGCAAAAAAAATTGCCTTGAGAAGAAAATTCAGCTTATTTCCACCGTGTCCCTGCAGACCAGGAGCTCACCAACCCAACAGACAACAGCATCAGATGTCCACCATGGACTTCTGTGCAGGCAGCCTGTGGTAGGGACAGAAAATGACTGTGGGGAAACAGCACGAAGGTGGTTTTCAATTGATTGCTGGGAGGGAGGCTTTGATTTCACCATTTTCTCCTGATGTTCTCTCAGAACATCACTTTTGCCAACTCAAGCAGGGGCCAGCAGGGCTGGGAAGTGCAGGAAAGCTGCTGCATGTGAAGAAAACCACTTTGCCATAAGAGGGCAGCAGGCGTTTACCCAAAAACCAGCTACAAAACCTGGCTGCCAGTCAAGAGGTTTCACTTTTCCATGTTGAATCTAAGTTGCAGCCCAAGAAAGAAAAGTGAATTTGGAAATTTACCTTTTCCACTGCAAATGTTCTGATCACGTACTCAGCCAGGAGCTCTGTTTCTATCAGTGTAACTTTAATGTCTTTGTAGATCTCTGTGTCATCAGGCCAGTATTTGCAGCATTTGACCTTGAAAAAAAGAACACAAATGAAGGGTTATTTATTTTAAAGGGTTGACTTTGGATCCATCCTGCAGCTGGTGCAATGATTTCTGTTTTACAATGCAAGCCCATGCATAAAGTCCCATTTTCACGTTGAGGGGCTGCTGCCTGTTCTGGTTTTAAGACAGCTTTCGGAGGTGCAGGTGAGATTTGTGAGGTGGTGAGGGAGGGAAGGCAAATTTATACAGAGCACTAAAGATATTTATACCCTAAACAAGTCAGTCATGGCAACTACTCATTTCCTCCACTGTCCAAGGCAGGCTCAACTTGTCACCAAGAGCTCGGTGCTTTCCCCCCTGCCCCAACCTCTATTTGATGATTTGTCTCAAAAATATCTTCCAACCTTCTAAAATGAATTATTATTTTTCTTTTTTTCAGACAGGCAGGATCTTCTTTGCTCTTAGAAAAGTGTCTGTTTTCTCAGCTTAACTTTCCAAAGGAATGAATGAGAGTTCAGATGGCCAAACTCAGCACTTGAAGCCAAGAGATGAATTTTAGGCCTGAGCTTTAACACCAATTCACTTAGATGGCCCCCAGATCTATGGGTGGGATTCATCCCACTTAGCTCAAATTAAGATTTCATTCTGTTAAGCTCTTCTTCTGCTTTTTCTGTTACAGTGGGTGGTTGTGGGGACTGTCTATGATGCTGTAGATAGCTGACACTAAAGGATTTTCTCCTCCTGCCCATTTGTGGACAAAGCAGTGGGCAGGGAAGCTCACAGACAACTTCCATCTCTCTTTTATTCTGCTCTATCATGGCAATAGCTACACTCTCATCACAGTGTCTGGCCACCACCCAGTAGTGCAGGAGGTGCTAGGAGCAGCATCTGCTCCACATCTGCTGCATGGAACAGTTCCTCCCTTCCCCTCACCAAAGGGAAAATTCAAAATGGATCTATTAATACCTGTAAATCCACTCATTTACTTAAATAAATGTGTAAATGGGCTGAGTGAAAAACCCCAAACACTTCAAATATTCAATGGAAAATGGAGAGAAAAAAAGCCTAAACTTCACAACTGGTTGAATATTTCCCAAACCCATTTTCATGCCAAAATATTTGGACTACTATCATGTCTAGTCTTGAGGAAAAGGTAAAAGTGATGAACGTGTGTATAAGCACCCAGTGAAAACTGTAACGTGTGATTCACATGATTTATTTATACAAACTCCAGGTTCAGCATCTAAAGGATTATGCAGGGAGTCAAACCTTGTAGTGACAGGCAGCAGAAAATACTTTCCTCAGAAAAAAAAAACCCTTTTCCTCAGTAGTTCTGACCCTTTTTCTGACTCTTTAGCAGGATAACATTTAAATCTGAATAGAACAGAGCTGAAGGGCTGGAAAAACACAGCCCCACATCAGGATCCCCTTCAGAGAAAGGGAGTAACTTGGTTGCCAGCCCTGGCTCCCGTTATCCCAGCATCCTAATGGCTTATTCCTGCTTCCACAGCTGATGGAAAGCTCTGGGAGCAGAGCTGGAGGGCAGGTAGCTCCAAGCAGGTTGTTATTTTATTTCCCTCTGCTTGCCTTCAGATCTAGCAACCACATTAGTATTGGCCATGAAAAATTCTGTGTATTCTTCACGTTTCATCTGGGATCAAGAATAGTTTTGGGATAAGTGGCCATCAGTGGGTTATAAGGTTCCTTTCCACAGCAAGAAGCTTGGAGCAGGGGCACGACCAGTCCCTGCAGTGCTCAGTGATCCTGTCCCCAACCTGCAGGATCTCTGGATTCATCTCTGCAGCACATCTATCAGCTGGAAGCAACCAAAAAACCATTTCAAAAGCTTCAGTCGTCGCTGCTGCTGTCTCCTGTTGCATCTACTTGATATTTATTCAGATCTTATCTCGTTGGGATGTAGTTCCAAAAACCCTCTGATAGAAGCTAAGTGAAAAACAATGAATGCTTGTTGTTTTGCCTGTGTTGATAAAATAAGCCAGAAAATTCACTCTTCAAATCCCTCCGGCCAGGAAACAGACCTTTTTGTAGTCACTGCTGGGAATTCTCCAAAACAGGGTTCTCCCACCTAGGGCTAAGATGATTTTTCAACTCTCTGTGCAGAATAAAGCAATTTCCCATCGTTCCAGACTGGAGCAGCCCCATCTCTGGAGCCAAATCCCTTTTCCTGCCTGTTGACTCCTCCTTGCCATAGGGGGAACCTGAAGGACACGAAGACGACCAGCACATCTTCCCTGGGAAGGGACAGGCTGTGACCCTGCTCACAGCACCTCTCTTTGCTGCTAACTTCAGCCTCATTTCTTCCTGAGGGGTGCCTGCCATCCCCCAAACAGCTCTAGTTTAGTAAAATAAACTATCTGGGAAAAAAAAACCCAACCCTGGCTGAATGAAATTGCTCAGCCTTGAAGGAAAACACGCCTGGTTTTAGCTCAGGAAGTCTAACCAGGCTGGAGTAGGACTAAGAACATTTAGAAAGAGCAATTTAGAAGAGCACAGTCCCCACCTTCTTACGCCTCAATGGCTGGATTTGCTCCCCTTCTTTTTTTAAACCTTATTTAAGATGATCCAGCAGAATAATGAGGGAAGCGCTGGGACGTCGCACAGAAGCTGGAGCCTTTTGTGCCTTCCTGCAGCTTGGAGCTGCTGGGGATTTTCTCCCCCTGCTGCACAGGGGTTCTGGGCACGGAGCTGAGCAGAAGGATCCATGACAACACAATTTCCTGAAAACTCTCCCCAGTGGAACAGGGGCTGTAAGAGCCGTGGGAATGGTGCCAGAGCCGCAGTCAGAGCCACAGACCAACACTAAATGATTCACTCACTGGGAGGGGAAACCAAAAAAAAACACTCCACAAGTTTTTTTTTTCCTTAAATTCAAGTTTTTTTCCTACTTCTGGCTCTTGTTCTGCAACGCTGCTGCACGTGCTGAGCTCCAGACATGAGAACTCTGCACTCCTGATGAGCCAAAACCAAGGTAAACTCTTATAGACCAGTCTCCCACCTCCTCCAGCAGCTCTCAAATAAATGCCAAGGTGGCTCAAAGGCAGAAGGAGATTAAATAGTGTAAAACAAAACCACATTTATAAACGTTTTTTTGGATCAGGGCCTTTATTTGTACAAGGAAAGACAATTGCAACAAAATAGAATATGGTTTTTACTCATCAAATATGAGAAATGCTGCTGGTAACATATGTTTGTTCATTTTTTCTCTTTTTAGCACAGCTTTAGCTACTGTAACTTGATGAATCTTTCCCTTTTTATAAACATTTGGTATGGTTTTTTTTTTTTTTAGAAGAGAAAAAATTGCTAACAGAAGGTTCAGCTAAATAATTGATACATGAATCCAGAACTGAATATTCAATGAATTAGATCTTTTCTCTCCCAGTTGCCACCCTAACAGTAAATATCATCCACAAAGTAGAAAACATAAGTTTGAAATGTCATCTGAGCAGAACTCTAATTGAGAGTTTGTTCAGCTACGCCCCACATTTAGAGCCCAACACCCTGCCAAGAAATACAGATGTTCATCACAAGATGAGATAAAAGGGTGGCTGCCAGAGACAGAATGAAAATGCTCTGGTTTAATCTATTCATCCCAAGGTACACTGTCCCAGCGTTCCAAACACGCTCGTTTTACTGATGAGCTCAGAAATTTGGAGAAGGTGACTGTCCAACCCCATCCCCCAGCCAAAGAACCCAACGGGAGGAACGAAGGGTTCCAAACGAAGGTGGGAAGTTGTTCTGAAGCTGCCAGTGTAGGCAGTGGATGGCTAATGAACACAAATTGTGACTTCCCAAGCTGTATATTTAGCCATTTGGCAACGTGACTCGTCGAGCTGGAGGCAGGCTGAATGCCAGGGCAGTAATTCATTTACTGGGAGGTTTGGAAGAGGAGGAATATCACGGAATTAATACGTGAGCTGGCTGTGAAAGATGCTTTGTAGTTGGTACAGAAGGGTTTAATAACACTGATTACACCAAGTTTCCCATTTCCTTTGATCCTGAAATATTCTTAGCAAAAAGGTGATGTCATGGGCTTAGGCACCACATGGGGTGTCGTTGGGGAAGAGCAGTATTATACATTCTAATTTCAAATTAATCCTGAACTAAGTCGTGAGGAGAAGTCAGACATCAATTCTGAAGTGAAACTTCGAGGGTATAAAAGGAAAGAGCCAACCAGGCTCTGGTGAAAAATCTGAACAGATTTTACAGATGTAGCCAGGATAACATCATATCCTTCCAGTTGGATGACTTGAAGTAAAAGGACATCTAATAATTGAAAGTATTTTAATTGAAATACTTTTCAAACAAAAAAGTTTTGTGATTTAAGAACGTTTGAGAAGTTATAAACCAATCCCTGACAGAAGATAAAACCCAGTCTCTTTTTTTTCCATTTCCTTTGTTTGCTTTTGAGCAAAATATTGATTTATACCTCATTTTTCTAAAAGGGGTTTGGAGGAGCGTGGAGAAATACAACGTGGAAGGTACTGTTTGGCACCATCAGATAAATGGGGCTGCAGAAAAGGCAGCCAGAAGCCTTGATGTTCTTCACAGCTCCCAGAGGGGGGAAGATGTCTCCAGGAATTTTACTAGCTCAGTCTTTCTTGCAGTGAGGCCTCGGAGCTGATCTAATTTCCACCTCCTGCTGCCCTGTGTGGCCTCAGCACCTCAACCCTGGTGGGTCCAGTGTTCCTGCCTCCACTGCTAACACCAAGAAGAACAGGGATTGTCTCCCTTGTGTTTAGGCAATTTTGTCTCCCACTGGTCATTAAAAAAGGCTACAAATTAGTGCATGCCAGCACAGCCCTGAAGGGGGGAAAAAGGCTGAGAGCAGAACACAGGAGAAGGGTGGTCCCATGCCCAGATGAAGGATGGATATAGGATGAGCTGGAGCTCCTCAAAGCCTGTCTTAATCTCTTCCAGCACTGTGAAATCATGGGCGTGTTGCTCAGATCCTGTGCTCTGAGGACCTGATGTGCCTGCAATGAGCAGAACAGCCCGTGCTCTCCATCAC